CGGACATTCGCTTTTCATCCTCTGAATTTCGTAAAAATCACCTCCGCCACAAGAAGGCTTTGAGTAGGACTTCCCTGGCAGAGGCTCTATACACGTGGCGGTGTGAGAGTATTTCGAGATGGAGGGCGAACCCACACCTCTCTCAGCCATACCAGGGCATTTGGGGGCTTCCTAGTAAGGTGAATTTAACTACATTTGTGTAGACATTGGTGTATTTTTAAAAACTAGTCGACATTTTCAGCAACCATTCATTATTATTCTATATTATTTTACTGTTCACTATCAGTCTGATTAGAAAATTGGTACCGGATATTGTTTAAGTAAACTATTATTGATGCAAAGTAAGCCTTTGCAACAGATCCTGACAATTTAACGTCAAATATTTAAAGGATTTCGGCACAGTCTCATCAGTCATATTCAATAGAATAATAACTAAGTTTTATGAGCTGGATGTAATTCATTTGGGATTTCCCTGATCACCAGTTATTTCAGTTCATAATACATACGAAGAAACTAGTTTAAAAAATATGGTGTTAAGGTAAAGTTCAAATTGAGCGACACCGATTTTGTGAGTGTCATATCAAATAACTGAACGATTTTCTCCCAGATATGATTGGTTTTGTAAGAGCTTGTAGTGAACTGTCATCTCACTAGGTTTATGTCAAATAGTTTATATCAGGTTTGTTGAGATTAGTTGCTCATTTAAATGTGTTTGATATGCCCCCTAAGAAAACTCTTCATCTGACTTAACAGTGATTAGTCTCCAACTGAGAGACCCTCATTTACTTGAAGTATCTAATTAACATTGTTTTGTTTGCTGCTGATGCCTCTAAAATACGTTTTTTGAAAATATTAAAAGTTAGATACATCTCTCTCCCCATAGGCCTTAGGTGTTCGCTCATACATGTTTTAGAAGGATTCATTGAGTATCATGGAATAGATTCTCAGTTAGATGACTGTGAATCGAGATGTGTTTTTTCTAAAAACACAAATATAGCTTCAACACAAGTCTGTTTCAATATTCAATCTGGCCATATAGCCTCATGTGGTGCATATTTATTTATTTGGACACAAACATCGGTAGAAGGGAGCACCAAATACATATGCGCCAAATGATAGCGTTGAGGTTGGAGGGTGAGCATAATAAAAAATAGCAGTAATAAACAGAGATTAGTGTATGAGAGTCAAATAATAGTGATGGTAGGAACAGTTCATTTTGTAGGAATACAACCACAAAGAATTCTTTCAGTTATAGAAGTTACTTTCACCTTTATGAAAAAATTTACGACAGGATAGCTACTTGTTTCTATTCTGAACCATGTCTAGTAGCGTGCCCAGCCACTGTGCTGCGTCATCTCTAGGACCCCTACCAGGGGACCGTGAAGAGCCAACATAAGACAGCCCCGTACATATTTTTTTCATACCACGACATCATCAACGTCTTGTAACCGGTCCCAATGTCAGCAAATAATGCACGTTGTGGAATTCTCTGTAATGATGTCCAATCCACCGAAGTCTGTTGCAAGATGGTGATACCAATTGAATTGTCGTCGCTGTTCCCGAACAAACGATGCCGAACCTCTGCATTACTAACATGATGTTAACACTGGATGCCAACAACCCTTCGGAAACAACGATGGCCAAACACAGAGAGTCGTCTAACATTCTCAACTCGGAGAGACGAGTTTTCGCAAGCATAGGGCAAAATTACTTTCACCGACTCGTTGTAGATCCGATCTTTTACAGCCAGACTGACATCAGGAAGGTGTCAAGGATAGCTCAGCTTGGCATAAGCCTCTCTGGCTTTCACTATACTTGCATTGATCTCATCACTCACATGATCAACACTTACGCAGCCAGCCAGATACACGAACGTCTCAATTACTGCTATTTGTGCTTGAAGTTTTTTGTCTGTTTTTCGAAGGTATTTGTCTTACAGCGGTACAGATTGTGCTTCTCATGACTAAAATGTAGATTTTGTAGGTTGGAGATATATATGCACTCAAATTACTCGATCATATTTCCATTACAAGCATTTTTCTCACATAACCTCACGACCGAAGGGGTATGGATGATTAAGTAAAAGTAGTACATCAGTTGTGGTTGTAAACTCAGCAGTCAAGTTTAAGAAACTGCAAAGGCGGTCAGTGAAATGCCACTAGTTTTGAAACTCATTGGTCATTAGTCTAAGTCGTATTGTGAGGTGAACACTTCATTTTTAGAGTGTAAAAGATGATCTTACTCTATAGTGAAAGACTGATTGATAAATCTTGAAATTGATGTGTGCCATATGTCTTCATTCTTTACCCTCCTCTACGTTTGATCTAAATGCCATTCCTTACTTATGTATGAGTGACTATTGGGTTGCTTTTTATTGACAATTAAACTCTATTTGTTTTTCATGTAGTTGCTCTTAACCTCACCTTTAAGATTACCATACATCATTTACTCTTTATGATCCCGAGTTTAATACGTCTACGCAATTGGGGTGGTTAAATGATTCTTATCAGCTATACTTCAGTCTCCTGCATTCAAAATAATGAGTATCTCAAACAATTCATTTCTGTGAATTTTCAAAAGAAAAAGCTCAGGTTGGCTAAAAAATATTTTTTATCTAACATAAGAATAATGATAGACCCACGGTAAAGTATATTGGGTATATGAAAGCTTATAACTGTATAAGCATTCAAACCTTACTATATGTACGTCAAACTTGAAAATCATACCTTTTATACATATCTTAGCTCTGACTTATGGAAGTTGGGTGCTAAATTCTAGTTAGACATATACTAATTCATTTTATTTGATGAATAAACTGTCTAGTATTTCGTGGGCATGTTGGTGAATTTTCTTCAAGATGTACTCGAATTCGGGAAGTAATTAATCCGATGAAGATATGGAAGATACCGTTTTCTCAGCTCTGACAAACCTTATAAAAATGTATTCAAGTAGAACTTCCTAATTCTTATATGAAATACCGAAACGTAAGTCCATCTTTCAAATTGCAAGTGCCATAATCTCTTGTAGTAATTTCTAGATAAGAATATTAACAGCACTCTCCAAGTTATTGTGTATTTTTGAGCACCGTGTTGATCTGAAGTTAGAATCAACCTGTTGATAATTTTTGATACAAGAAGTAGCTAGCGAATATTGGAATCAGGCATCGAGTTTTTCATTGACAGGGTGAATCGATCAATACTGAGCAGGACACATAAAATGACCGTATGGCATTGCAATAGATGCGGTTGAAAGTTCGTTTGCTGTATTCACTAAATCAACATTTAAACTCAATAATTTTTATTTTCAGCCATGAATGGGATGTGTGTTTGGTAGCTTCGAAGCGTTCGAAACTACATATATACTGGATGATAACAAATCGTAAAACCCTCCAACGTGTTTGTCAGTTGTTGCCGATGAAAACTAATTTGACCTCGAATCATTATGCGACTTCCGTTTTATAATTACGAATGATTAGTCATACATGTAGCCTAAGACAGACTAAATTTCTAGTTTTCAAGCGATAGTTCTGTTGATGTTTAGTTTCTATTAAAATTACGAGTGTACAGCTAGCGATAATGCGTATTTTAATATTCAACTTGTCTCTCTATGTTAATTACTACAACTAGGCTATGGAATCTATAACTTCACTTATCACGTTTGCATACTTCCCTATTCTTATTTAACTTTGTTTTGGACATTCTTTGAGAGATAATATACTCGTCCTATGGGTTGTTTTCTTACCGGGAGACTCACTTATTGACTCAAAACATGCAGACAAGATACTTCTATGAGAACGCTGGTAAAATACAGTCTTCTGATCACCTTTGATAAAAATTCAAACTCGTTCGAGATAGACTTTCATCAGGACTGATCTACATCATCGTCTAGATTGATCACAGGTGTTGAATGAATTAGGGGCGTCAAGTAGTTCTCTTGCTTCAGAAGTTCCATAAGTCCTAGAGGGTTGGTATGTGGTGAAATCTTGATACGGATTCAGAAAGCTCGGTTGGCTCTTACCAAATTTCGTCACCTGTCAGACAGGAGAGATATTTGCCTGCTAACCAAGGGGCAAGTACAGCGAACAACATTAGTTTCTGCTTGATGTGATGGCGGCGAAACGTGGCTATTGGAGTAGATATGTTACTAATATTTTCCTGGTATGCCGAGACCACCGAGTAAGCGTTGATGACGCTGGACTCAGAGTATTAGTTAAAGATGACAGGTCGGTTTGCAAGGTAATCGCTCTTCAAATGAGGTGGTTTGGTCATTTATGGGGCATAACCGGCCACGGCTTAAGTTGATTTGCAATGATTGCTGGTGTGGAAGTAAATTACCCCACAGTTTCCCGTTTTGTATCACTATACTGCTGTGAAACTTATTTTGCAAAATTAATTATAGTGTACTTCTAAATAGTCTTACCAAAAGTTGGGTTACTAATATCTGGTTTACTGCTCTTATAACTTTCCAAACTGTCACGCGTAAAACATGAACTGCTCTTTTACTGTAGGTAAACAGAACTCTGTAATTTGCTTGCGTATGAACCTATTGGACATTACAGTAATTCTCTTTTTATATTTGAATAATAATTTAGAGCTTTACCTCAGTAACTTCCTCTTAATTTCATTCTCTTCCTTCAGTGTCTGGACACTACATTACTTGAGTCTGTATCTTATGAAACTACTAAATAATTCAGTTTTTCACTTATATGAACCGTAACGTTTTTACTTGAGTTGATATAGACTGTAAAGGCTATAAGCAACTTTTGTTGTCCAATTAATACAAATTTTGCAAGTTTCTCAAAGTGCACTTACCAATATAAATTATGCATTAAACTACAGATTAATTATTCTTTACTCCACTACCTGACGTTTCATTGAAATCAATAAGTTAAGAATGGTGGTCAGACGTTTATTCTCGTATGACCATATTTTTGCAGTCCTAATGATGAATATTTGCTTGAATCTTAGAACCGATTATGAGATAAAATAGACCCATAGGTTCTAAACAATAATATCTTTTATGAAATTCCTGGAATAATCTCAATACATGAATTATTAATGAAATGTACTTAGATACATTTTCCTCAGAAATATATTACAGATATATAGCTTACATATACTCTATAAATTATCTCAGTAAGACTGAAATACGGGACATCGGGTTGAACTAGTTAAAAATGTTGTTTTTGTGTTCACTTGAAAACATCCTGTCATGTTCACCAACGAAACGCTGTAAAACTGATTCAGGATCGTCACTCACTTCAGTTAATAGCTGGATCGCATCTAGTCTCAACAAACGCTGCTTATTTTTTTCGGCAATTTGATTTAGATCAATAAACCCGTTAGACAAAGAAGTTGAGTGTAGCATCTCACCTGACTCATTTTGAGATTTAATTAGCGAATCATTCTCATCTAATATTGGGTTTTGCATTCCGGATGGGTTGCAGTTTTGAACATTTTTCTCCCTTACTGAATGAGCTCTGCTTTTATCCTTGATGTTTTGCAACAGTTCCGTTCTCAACTCTTGGAGATGATTGTTTTGCTTTCTCAAGAGAGTTATCTGTTTCCGGTCTACATCTCTTAAATCTTCTATGTAAGGCTCTTCCAACAAAATCTCGGGCTCAACGTCTTGAACATGATTAGGCATTTGCCCTGATGAAATATGAGTGTTATTTTTATTAAAAATTGAAGCATCTTGGAATAGTTCTACAGCTTTTATGTTTATTCGGGGTCGAGATCGTTGTTTACATGTGCCAACCTCCATACGTTCGTTGTTATTACCACGAGTATGTTTCTGTTGGTAATACATCGACTCAGTTTTGGATTTTTCCCTGTCTAGTTGAGCTTTTAATGCGGTTAGCTGTTTCAGTACTGACTGCGTCTTTTCACTGCTGTGTTTATCAGATGTCTCACTACCAAATTGCTTCAAGTGGTTTAGTTTGCTGGCTTCTGGTCCTATTAAGATTTTAGGACTGCATGTTGGTGACTTTATATTTTTTGATGGATGTTTGTACCTAGTGTTCCTCATCTCAACCAAATTCGTTTTGTTTCCAGTATGCTCTTCTTTACGTTTTAATTTATACTCATTACTTTTGTCGCTCAATTGTTGAATATCTCGCTCAACTTTATTTTGCTTCCGTTCTTGTTCCGCTTCGAACTCTTTCTGCATTTTCAACCGTTCTGCTCTAATCCTTTCCATCTCGCGTTGCTCAAGCTCGATTTCTTTTTGTTTCTTAAGCTCCATAAACTGACGTTTCTCCGCTATCTGCTGACTTAGTTCTTTTTTGTATTTTTGGAGATTGTGTTTCTGTATCTCCGTTAATGGGCTGCCAAATATTCCATGTCCACCTCTGGCGAAATTAGGCTCGAAATTTGTTGAAGCTCTATCTGAAGTTTCAAAGTGGATTTCTTTCGACACATCTAGACCGGTACGCGCCTGTTGGTCAGAACATTGTTCGGGGTTGACAGAATTTGACATGTTTTGTTGAGGGGGATGGATTTCTCTTGATAAGTCAAGGTTGCAGTTCTGCTCCTCGATCTTTCTATTATATTCTTCGTCATCCTCTTTCTGCTTAGCTTTTTTCGCTCTTGCCTCCTCAATTTGTTTTTTTAACTCCTCAGCATACTGCATTTTTTTTAATTTTAGGTCCGTTGGGTTTTGCACTGTATTCACATTCTTACCACTACCAACACTAGCATTCAACATTCTAGAGGGTGAAGGTTGAGTTGATGCATTTATTGCGAGCAAATCTCTTTGTCCTACATCAAAGTATACACATTCTGTCGAATTTAAATGTGTCTCATTTGAGTTTATTTTATTTGACTCCATTTCTGGATTTTTATATGCATAAGTGGGTATTGGGCACATAGCACTGTCTTTTATACTATCCGCCTTTTCATATGAACGCTTTCTTTCTGTCTCAGCAATCTGTGACTCTAACTCTTTTCTGTAGTTATCCTTTAAATTTTGCTTGGAGCATTTTACCTCATTCTTTTCAGACTTCCACGAACTGAACGATAAGTTACGAAGACCCTCGTTCGTTGGATTTTTATGGTCTAACGTATACGGACTTTGAATATGCTTTAGCTTATTATATTCTTCCTCTATAAGACTAAGATGTTTGTCTGCTTCAGTTATTTGGTGTAAACGTTTTTTCAAATCTTCGTATCTACTACTACAGAGTTTATATTAAAACTAAACCTACTTGTCTGCTGCATCCGGACTGTTAGATACTGAGTTGTTCTTTAATTCTTTGATAATGGAAGCACCCCTATCATATGGTACTAAGGATTTATCATTTAAACTGATAATATTTATAAATTTTCGATTACTTGAGGAAAATTTAAACATACTCAGGTCTGTTAGAGTGCACTACAGGCCTTTGATCGTTAAACAGAGTGTTGATTTTCTTTTCTAGTTCCGTCAACCTGCATCCAAAATCACTTTTTGGTAGCTCATATTGTACACCAAACGGTTCATTTATATTCGGAAATTTGTCAAGCACCTTCAAATGTCCCGAGGAGTCAAGTGGTTGATGACAATTTTTCTTTTTATCGGAGAATCTATTATGGAAGCTTTTTTCTTCTCTTTGCTTGAATTCCAAGTAGTCTTGCATAAGTTCTTCACGCTTCTTTGCTCTCTCGAATTCATACTGTCCGAATTTAGAAAAAAAGTTTTCTTCACGTGGAATATTCAAATGATTCATAGTTAAGTTATTGCGTATGTACAATACTACTATATAAGTTCTGGTTAAATTCAGTTGCTACGAATTCATAGCCTTGTGTTTACTTTATATGCCTCGTGAAAGATTTAAACACACAAATGGGATAACAGCATAATAAATGAGAACTGATGAGCATAAAAGTAAGATGAGGCAAAGTATAAATAAATTCCAAGTGGACATATGTAACAGAAGTGATACATTGTATCCTAATGTCTGATAAGTACTATCTTTGTCACGAGTGCATTATAAATGGTTCAAATGGTTGTGGACGGAATAGAAGAAGCTTTCGCTTAACAGGCTTCCGTGTCTAGTAGTAAGGGATCAAAAAATCCTCCAAGCAGGAACCTAGGTATGTAAACAATAAAAGAGGAAAAGATATTATTAAATCATAGTGCGATACTATCCTTAGTCCTTAAGAGTATATTAAGTTGCCTCTTAACGAACTCCTGGGAAGTCGCTTGGGCTAGCTCAGCTGGCAGCAAATTCTAGCATTTGATAACTCTTAGGCAGTAGAAGTTGTGTCTACAGTCCGTTCTGCTATGTTGTGTCTCCAGATTTTGGGTGTTATCTCTTAGGTTAGTGTTGGAACTAAGCTTAAGTAAGTGTTTGAGAGGATATCTAGAAGTGTTAAGGATACTGTAAGCCATCAGAAGGTCACCTCTAAGATGTCTATGCTCTAATGGATTAAAGTTAAGTGATTGGAGGCGCTCTTCATAAGCTTTAAATTTGAGTCCTCAAACTAATTTCGTGGCTCGCCGTTGGATACGCTCCAGGGTGTCCTTATCCTTCTGGAGTGAGGAGGGAAATACTGTGTTTCCATACTATCAATCGGAACGGATGAAACTAGTGAAGCCTATATGGTAAGTTCTCCCGTCAAACTGGCCAAAAATGCGCTTCAATGTTACCAGTGCAAGGTTTGCTCGGAAGGCTTATTGATGAGACATATATGGTTAACCCTATCAAAAGCTTTTTGAGAAATCTAGGTAGATGATATCAACCTTCCCCTTGTGATCAAGAATACTGTCCACCGCAGTCAGCAGGTCGGTAATAAAAGAGTAACCCTTTCTGAAACCATGCTGTTGAGGTAAGAAGAAATTTAAGGACAGTAAATAGTCAGTTATACAATCGCATATCAATGACTCCATGATTTTTGAGGGTATGGAGAGAAAAGCCACCGGTCGGTAACTTGAGGGTTCGCTGCGTCGACTTCCTTCGAAAATTGGTGTGATGTGAGCCAGCCTCCAATTTTCCGGTATTTTTCCTCGACTTAGCGATTGTGAGTACATCACGTTGCCAGGATTGAGACTGCGTCCCTCAGTATGGCGGAATGGACCACGTCCGGGCCATGAGACATGTCTAATCTTAAGTGCTGCAGTTTCCGGAACACCAGGTCAGCGCTTGAGTTCACCTTGGAAAGTCCTGTGGAATTGCAAACGAAACTGTCATCAGTAAAGTTAATGTCGGTCGGTTGAAATGTCTGGGAGTAATGTTCAGCCAGAAGGTTAGCGGCGTCGTCATCGTTGTTGTCCAGGCCGTTAAGAACTACCAGTTGGAAAACCCCAGTTTTGGCTTGACGACGAGAGGCTTCATAACGGAATAAGCTTTTAGAATTAGAGGCAAATTTGTCCATAAGTTTTGTCTGGTACTGAAGTCTATCTTCTCTTATAGCCTTCGTGCATATGTTCCTGATATGTTTGTATTGCCTGTACGCTCCATCCTTGTCAGTTCGTTTGTATTCCGCCCAACGGTGCCTTTTGAGGCTTAGCAGGCGAAGGGTACGGTTCTTGATTATTGTAGGTGGCTTGCAGCTTTTGGGAACCGTTTGAGGAACTGAATGGTTTGTAGCACGTAAGAGCGTGTGCAGTAAGAAGTTCCAGTGACCGTCCACATCGAGTTGGGGGTGAACATCCCAAACAACGTGTTGTAGATAGTCGTGAAGAGCTGCCACATTCAACCGTTTAAAATTCCAACGCAAGTTATTTTTGGGATAGCTTAGCTTAGTTTTGCTGACAACAGTGAACGCTATGATGGCACGATCGCTTTTCCCCAGGGTAGCCAGGGTTGAGAGATTGTCAACTAGGAATTCTTCGTTTGTGAATACACAGTCTAAGCGCGATGGTGTCTGACTATTTCTCCAACGAGTTGCAGACCTCACATTTTTATATAAGCCCAAGTCATCGATGAGGTTCAAGAACCGAGCTTTAATTGAGTTGTCGCCTTCAGTGTACGTGTGTTCCGCGAAGTTGACTCTAGGGTGATTAAAGTCCCCCAGAATCAGGATGTGTGTGAAACCGAGACGGGTAGAGCGGGATAGTCCGAGAACTGAGAAGATATCCAGGTTTCAGATATTCCTATCAGATGGGACTTATTAGCATCATGTTAGAAAGTTTCGGAATGTCCAACAACAAAGCTGTGATAACTTTAGTGGATCTGAAGTTCTAGTTCAGGATTTTGATAGTGAGTTGGTATGAGGTCAATTAACGTCTCAGAACCATTAGTTCATTCCTCGCTCAACAACACATGATGATTTAGCCTGCTTTTACTGATATGAATTTAATGAGTATAGTCGACAGGATATTTCCAAGTGAACAGAACAGAGGTACTTTGACGTGAGACATTGGTTGGATTTTCGTTGCTTTGCAAGTGATTTCAATCACAATACAGAGGATCCCTATCTTTACCCCAGATCTGGATAGTAGAAATTTCCTACATTAATTAGTTTAAATTAGCCTATCAGGTCTGATTGATGTTATGGTTTTAGCGGTAAATAAATCGTCAAAATCAATAGGTCTTTAGGTCTTCGAGATTTGTTGCTGACTGCATTTGTTTGACTAGATTCCCCTAACTGAAGGCGCTCGATCACGCATCCACATCAGATCACGATTGTGTACGTCATGCCTCACAAATCCTACAATCGTCAGCCATCTTAGATTAGTCACTTCTCCATATATTGATGTTCTGTCGAATATATCTCTGAACCCTTTACGTATTATATATTGCTGCTCTGACTGCATTTTCCGAGGAAGTCAATACTTTTTAATCAGGTTCGCTAACATGCCTGATTTTAGAACGTGAAGTAAAATACTTAAGGATGAAGCTGCCATGCATAGAAGATAAGTTCACGAGTTCATCACCCTGACCCACTTAATCACGAACTTCTTAATATCAAAAGATACATTTTGAGATAGTTACAGAAAATATGACAGAGTCGTTAGGTAGAGAATTCGTTTAGATTTTATAAAGTACTATGCCTAAAGAAAACACTTGGGTCCTCGAATAGCAAGCTGCGCAACCAAGGATTTTGGTTGTTAACCTACATTGATTGATGCGGTAAAAACATAATGGTAAAGTCGACAAGTGCGGTTGTAAACTGTGAAAAACGTATATTAGGAAAGGCCAGACAGAGATGAGCCGTACAATTTACATTTCTGGGTCCGAAACCAACCCCACTACAATAATATCAGTTAAGAAAACATCGATAACCGTGAAACTATTTACTTTCTGCATAATAATCTGGTTGGTAGCAAATGAATTTCGAGGTTCTACTTTAACGGATGATTCAGTTTGATTTATTGTATAATAAATAACCAAAACTACAAAACACGTGTCCAAAACGCCATGAATCGCGAGAAACTATTATTTACGGAAGACGAAAGGCGTACTTAGCAAACAAGGAATGTATTTCAGTCAGAACTAAGCAATTCAAGTGAGTCAAGTAGACTGGATGGCACGTACTTGCTATTCATTTCGGTAAGCAAAATGATCTGAACGCTAATTAATTAGTATTCGTGATAAGATGAGGTCCGGGAGAATAATTTCATCAATGTTTGGCCGAGTTTTGGTACTTGTGTATCAGCGAATCTTTATAGATGCCATTAAATCAATATTTAGGTGATGAAATTTCAAAACCATCTAACCGTTAATCTGTAACAGCATAGGTTGGTTGGTTAAGAGTTGACCCCTAACAACCAAGCATATGTCAAAACAGTATTGTTCAAGTATTCATTCACTTCCTTATTTTGTATAAGCGTTATATTCCTTATTATCTTATATTGAATGTTGAAAGCTTTTGTTTGTCTGAACAGATAATCCCACGCTCCACTGTGACTGCGCTAAGATCGAAATAAAGATGTACTCAATAATTCTCTGTTTTCTTCTATCAATAGTACGAGGGTTACCTATAGGCACGAAATTGGTGAGCCCTTTTTGAACACAAATTAACCTCATTTTTGTTATTAATATATTTTTTTTTACTCAATCGTAAAAGTAGACCTCATAATCCGTAAACTAAGTTGGGTATATAAATAGTTTATTTTTTTTATTATCTTAAGTTATTCGTGTCATAGAAACCACTTTTTTTCGTTCTAATTTTATTGCTATATTTGTCACATACCTCATGTCAGACTTAAAAGAAACCCATAATCTGGAGGACTTGTCACCAGTGGAGATAGACACTGTTATGACTACGAAATCTCGACTTCCAGAATTTGATCGTAGTGATCCTGAGTTGTGGTTTGCTCAACTCGAACATTATTTCACGAGACACAATATCAAATCTGAAGGGATTCGCTATAGAGATTTGTGTTCTATCCTTCCTCCTTCAGTCGCCAAAGAAGTCCGTGACTTGATTTTAGATCCACCATCACCACAACCGTACACCGTCTTAAGACGAGAGATAATGAACCGTTTATCATTATCAGATAGTCAAAGAATCCAAAGACTTTTTCAAGGTGAAACACTAGGTGATCGGTCGCCGTCACAGTTTCTACGTCACCTCCAAGTCTTAGTGGGTGATAACACAGTGGGTGAAGCAGTCCTAAAGCAAGGATGGATACAAGCTCTCCCATGCTACGTCCAACACTGTTTGGATGCACAAGATCCTGAAACCTCATTATCTCATTTAGCGCGTATAGCTGATAGAATAATGGAAAGAGGTCCTCCAACTGGATCAGGCACAATAAATCACACACAGAAAGTAGAATCAGCAAAAGACCCCGTCATAGAAGGACTCATTGCGAGTGTTAAGAGTCTCACTGAGGCTGTCACCAGAATGCAAATGGGTCATACAAACAGG